ATCGCTCTGCTGACCCTTGGGGTCCATTTTATTTTGGTATACCTTTTCTAGGTACGTTAGCCTGTGACCACGGAAATTGGCCGAGTCAAGTGATGGATTAGTACGGAGAGATTGAGACAGAAGGAGGTACTGGATAGAGAGACCGGGATGGTTTTTAATGTGAAGACAACAACAACAACAACAACAACAACAATACTGATATTCCAATACCACCGCGTAAACCCGAAAATGGTCGGTTTTCGCGCGAGAGCCGAGACCGATTCACAGCCGATGGTTGAAATTCTCCCGACGATTCTTACGCGTCCCGCTCCATATCTCGTTGTTGTGTCCCTGCGATGAGATCCGACGATCGGTTGCCAGTACCCCGCTTGGTGCTGGCCTGTCTTGGCCGCTGCTGCGGGCCGGAGGTGGCAGCAAGTTGTTCTTCGCGGTCAGCCTGTTCATCGTGTTGGAGTAATTGTGGTACAAGAACGTCTCTACTCTACTGCATGGGTTTACGCAGTATTGTGAAGGCGTTGCCAAGTCTGTAACAGTCAAGTGAAGACAGCTTGGGCGTCTGTCTGGATAATAAGATCGCTCTGTGTGTTTGCCTACCTTATCTCGCATCACGCCAGCTACGTTGTAGCTACAGCAATATTAGACTAATAAAAGGCTATCTATGGCTGGTTCTTTCCCTGCAATAAATATGCGCACTTTTTTCCTTTTGGCGCAGGTCAAATTGGTGGTTTTACTGACGCAGACTAGACTGAATATAGAAACCAACACCAATCAGCCGAATGCAGGCATGGTGCTATGTTTGGCTGGCACATCTGATGATGTGTTTCAGCTTCACAGTGTCTGTCATGCACCATCGTTTTTTTTTTTTTTTCCCGCGTGAGTTTGGCGACGACAAAGTCGCTCTAACAGAGTGTCTGTCTTTCAGTGTTTTTTTTTTTTGGCGAGAGTTTGACTAGCAACCAATGGTTGTTGTTTCATGTCTAACAGGCACTCCCCCCCAAAAGACCTGTCTCTCCCGCAACGCCGTGGGGGCCCCAACCCCAAACCCCAAACAAACTCCTACCGGCATCGGGGACATGATGCTACAGCAGCATTATCACAGTAAGTAGTAGCACATCGCCACGAGGAGTACAGCAAGCAGCTTATTTTGCGAAGTATATTTCCCCACTCTTTCTCAGTGAGTAACATTATTGGGTTAAATAGGTTATGGCCCTGGGCCATGGCCGGGCCATGACCCGCCCATGACTCGCTCATGGCCAGCTAATGACCCGGCGATGACCCGCCCATAGCCACGTCATGGTCAGGCCATGACTCGGACATGACTCGCCCACGGCCGGGCCATGACCTGCTTATGACTCGGCCATGGTTAGGCGATGATCCGCCTATCAATCGGTCATGGCCAGGCCATGAGCAAGTCATTGACGGGTTCGTTAACAGGTGGGTCATGGCCGGGTCAAGGCCGGGCCATGGCCGGGCCATGACCTAACCCAACAATGCTACCCACGGAGAAAAAGTCTTGGGAAATAGGCTTCGCAACAAAAGCCGATGAACCTCTCGTACCAATAGCGATTTCCGGGCAAGACAGCAACCCTGGGGGGACGTGTTCGTGGCTGCATAGCCAGAACGAACACAGGCACCAACTGTTATTGAGAAGCATAATGACCACTAGTCTAGACTACTTTTGTGGTCTAGTGGTCGTCGTGCCTCTCAACAATAATGACCTGTGCCAAGACTTGCCCGGCAACCCTTCCGCTTATCTCATGTGCTTCATGCGCAGTTGACGGCGACCGATCTTTAGCAAAGCGCACGCGGAGCTTCGCGGAATCGGTATCTCCCCCTCTGCTCATCTGAGAAGCGAAAATGCCTTTGTCGCGATAGCAATATCGGATTACTACCGTAAGAGTCGGAGAGATGGCACCCCCGATGAAAGGTAAACTACGCGGGGTGCAGCAAGCCCGTGTTGGGCGTCTGTTGGGGCAGTGGGTAGTCGGCCGTGTTAGGCCGAGAGAGAGAGGTAGAGATTGAGATTGCGTTGGCGTTGGAGAAAGCGTTGGAGAAGGAAACTTGATTGGAGAGAGACGGCGGTAGCGGTGGAGAGAGCGAAAGCAGTGCGCTAGATGCGCGAGCCTTCAACACCGCAACCAAGGCCAAAAGGGTCCCCGTATCTGCATCGGTGGTACCCATCAACATACGAAATTCTCAACACGTATCCCCGAGGATCCTCACGTCTAGAGACTGCTGCGAGTATATCTTACATCCCCCCTGCTCGCAACAGTATCTTCACTGCAAACTACGAAACAATATCGGATATCTCAACCAAAAGACGTCTTTTCCTGAATATATGCGATCAAGATTACTTCCAAAATATATGACACGAAAACCAAGTCCAAGAAACATGAATACTGCTGCATCGCGCGTGAAAATAACTTAGCGCGGAAAGCAAAACAATCAAATCGAAAGCCAAACCAAACTCATCAGAAAAATAATAAAAACTCATGCCAAATTCATCACAAAATCACGGTGAGACTCGAACGCATCCTTGGGCAAACTTTTCGTAAGAAAGTCTGCACGCTGGTACGGAGACGGCACGTGAATCACCGAAATCTCCTTCCTCTCTACCAGTTCCCTGAGAAAATGGTGCCTTACATCAATGTGCTTCGAGTTCGAGTTTGAGATGGGGTTCTGCGCTAGTTGAATCGCCCCCTGGTTGTCCTCGAAGACGGGGATGCACGGCATGCCGACCTGCGGCAACATGAAACGCCAAATCTGCCTCAAAAACAAAATCTCCTTCACTACGTCGCCTAGCGCGACGTACTCTGCTTCTGTCGTCGAAAGCGTGACGCATTTTTGCGTTCTGGAAAACCAAGACACAGCGCCTCCTCCACACGTCACGATCCCCCCTGATACCGACCTACGGTCTGCTGCCTTGCTTGCAAAGTCCGCATCAGCGTATCCCTGCAAGCTGAATCCCTCTACCGTACCTCTCTGAAACGAAATACCAAAGTGACTCGTCCTCCTCGCATAGCCCAAAATATCCATCGCTGCATTCCAGTGTACCAGCTTCGGAGATGCGCAATACCTAGCTACTGCCCTTACTGCATTCGCAATGTCTGGTCTAGTCTGAGTCGCCAGCCACATCAACGATCCTACCAGCTCACGAAACGGAAACTCTGTCGCCACCTCATCCGCATCAAAATCAGAAAGCTTCACACCCGAAGACATCGGAACGCTCCTACCTCCCACTACTCCATATTCTGCTGCTAGCTCGTCCGTGAAAGTCTGCTGAGAAATCGTCAACCTACCGGTCTCCTTATTCCTCTCGTAAAAGCACCCAGAATACCATCTCAACTCTCCCAGGTTCTTCACTGGCACGGACTTGTTAAGGTCAGCGCCAAACTTATCACATCTCTCCCTCTCTCCAACAGCAAAGATGTCATCTACATGTACAACCAAAATCAAAACAACACATCCATCCTCAATCAAACGAAACACACAAGCATCGGCCATGCACTGCTCAAATCCTAACGCCACCAAACACCTCTTCAGCATTGCATGCCACTGCCTAGATGCCTGTCTTAAGCCATACAGACTCTTGCCTAGTTTTACAATCATTCCTGATAGAGCTCCACATCCCTGCGGCAAACGCATGTACACGTCTTCCTCCAACTCCGAACGCACAAAAGCTTGCTCAACATCGAAATGACACAAGTCGAGGTTCAACTCGCACGCCAAAGCAGCCAACATCCTAACACATGAAACAGAAACGGTAGGCGCGTACAACTCTCCAAAGTCAATGTACTCTCTCTGCATATCACCTCTCGCTACAAGTCTCGACTTAACCTTAGTGGGCCATCCAAACTCATCTGCCTTCCAATCGAATACCCACTTAGCGTTAATTGCGTTCTCCACTAGTTGCTACTTCGCCGGAGTAAAAGTCCCCGCTTCCAACAAGCCATAAAACTCCCTTTGCATAGAGTCGCTCCAAAGGTGCCGGTGCTCCGACGCCATGGCCTCTTTGTAGCTCTTGGGGACACGAAGGTCGCTGACCTTCCGCATGTGTGGGCGGTTATTTGTAGCGTATTTCTCTACACCAAGGAGTGTGCGAACACCAACCGATACCTTTCAGGAAAGCCCTCGACGAGATGTTTCAAAAACGACCCTTGTCGGCAGTGGTACCCCCCTGGTTGTGGAGAAATACGCTACACAATAACGCTAACATGGGGGTTCCATCTCTCCGACTCTTACGGTATGCCGCTTTGCCTGCCACTCCCGGGTGTCACTCCGGAGATGGGCCTCTGCTGACGGCCAATCGCTACGGATTTCAGGGCCAGTCGTTCGCTTGGAGGAGCCTATGGCAAGACTCGTCGACGAGTTCTATGCATCACCCGACAAGGCGGCGATAACGAAATACAGTTTAAACATCGCGACCGCCGCTTCTGATGATTTCCCTGCCTCCACGTGGGTCCTACGCTTCTACTATTGGCCGTACAAGGGTGAGAACAATTCGGTCAAAACCCTTGACTCCATTGTGCTCACCCTCTTGCGGCCGATGAGGTCACCGTTGGAGGCAGATATATCATCCTCACCGGCCGTCGCAATTCGAAAATCTTTTTCGTTCTCGCCTCCTTGTCGGGTGACTCATTCGAACTTGACGTCGAGCCTTGCCGTACAGTAGGTTCTTCGACGTGGACGACTAGCCCCTAGACTCGTGGCGATCGGCCATCAGCAGAGGTCTATTTCCGGAGTGATTCCAGGAAATATCATTCATTTCGCTGAGTTTTTCATCAAACGGTCGTTGACCCCGCCGGCGTTTGCCTGGTGCCTGTCCGGGCGCCGGGTATTCATTATATTTTGTCCAAATCGTTACGGTCCTAACGTTTTCCTACCCTGCACCCCGTCAGCTGTACATATCTTAGGAGCCCCGATCCGAGGCCATGTCAATTCCAGATCGCGAAAGGAGTACATGTTGTAATGACTTTTGTCAGCAATCACCCTCCAAACCCTCCACGTATCTTTTTTGTTTGAGGTGATTGCCGGCAACCAAACTTCCGCAAGCCCATGGCGGGTTCGTCAGCGTTGTCATCGTCCTCGCTGCTCATCTGAGAAGGCAAATTGCCGGTGTCCGCAGAAGCGATGTGGCTGACACGGCATTCTCCCTGCTCCCGGCATCATTCCGGCACTGGTCCCGGGAGCGGGAGTCAAGGATACATCAACAACGTTGTTTTGGTGGACACAGGCGTTTTGGCCGCGCAGATGCGCGGCGGGAAATATGCCGATGCTGAGATCCTCGGCATAGACTTTGCTGATGTATGCCCGTCCCCAACAACATGAAGCGCAGAAGACTCAATGTACATATTTCAGTGGCCACCTGCACGTCTTGTCTGCACTGAAGGCTGTAACGGTTCTGCGGGCGCCTCGCAAGTATATGGCACACGAAGTGAGCTTCAATGCCCGCCACGCTCCCCTGCTGGCCTGCCAGTGGTACTTCCTGCCAGGTTCTTGGCTGTCTTCGACAAATCAGACCTCTTGGTAGAACAAGCGTTTCGTCGTGTAGCTGCCGAAGAACGCAGCGCCTTTCTAATGGCCGGATCTGGCTGGGGCTGGATATTGTACGATCGTTGTCCTGTACGATAGAACATCGACACGTATCGGGACGTTCTCTGAGTTGTTGATATCCACTCCTTAGACTCAGCACCTGTGTCGAAAACGCACGAAATGAGGCAATCCTAGACGGTCTGGTGCTTGGTATTTTAATTCTCATACAAGGTGGAAACGGGGCACCGGCGTCGTTAAGTACAAGGTTGCGCACGAGGGTAGATGCCAAGCCTGCGTCGCCTATGTCCTCTAACTGTTGTCCACGATAGCTCCAGGTTCACCTGTAGCCCCACCTTCCCCGCTGCTCATCTGCGCAGAAACATGCCAGTGTCGGTGATGGCAACATTGCCGTTGGTGTGGCCTAGCACTCCCGGCATCACTCCGGGAATGGGCCCCGACAGGTGACCAGTCGCTACGGATCTCGGGTCTAGTCGTCCGCGTGGAGAATCCCATGGCAAGACTCGTTGCTAAGTTCTGTATGTATCACCCGCGAGGGCGGTTAAGGCGGTGATGATGAGCATCACCTACACATCGCGACCGCCGGTGAGGATGATTTCCCTGCCTCCGCTGGTGTCCCTATGTTTCGATTGGTCTCAAGAGGGTGAGTCTTGACCGACCCTCATGCGGTCAATAATAGAACAGCAGTAGGTCACCGATGGAGGCGGATAAATCATCCTCGCTGGCGGTCGCGATGCGCACACCCTTTTCATTCTCGCCGCCTTGTCGGGTGGCTCATGTGAAGTTGACGACAAGTCTTGCCGTAGGCTGTTAGACGTGGGCGACTAGCCCCTGGATCCGGAGCGATTGACCGTGAGTAGAGGTCCATTCCCGGAGTCATTCCAGGAAACAAAGTTTGTTCCGCTGAGTATCCCATCAAATGGTGTTGCCCCCCCCCCCGGCGCTTTCCTGCCACATGACCGGCCGCACGTGATATTCCCTCCTTCTCCAAATTATTTCAATCCAAACAGTTTTTTACACTGCAGCCCTGCAGCTCCACATATATGAAGAGCCTTGATCCGAGGCCGTATGGGTTCCAAATCGCTCCAGGAAAGCATACATGAATACATTTTCTAATGACCGTTGCCAAGACGCACCACCTAGCCCCTCCACTCATCTCTTGTGTTTCATGTGATTGCCGGCGGCCGACCTTCAGCAATGCCCATGGCGAGCTAGATCCTCAGCGTTGTCATCTTTCCCGCTGCCCATGTGCGACGAGATTGCCTGTGTCCTCGATGGCGGCGTCGCTGACACCGCCTTTCTCCCCGCTCCCGGTATCATTACGGGAATGATTCCGGAAGCGGGAGTCAAGGCGGCATCAGCAACATTGTTATGGTGGACACAGGTATTGTTGCCTCGCAGATGAGCAGCGGGGAATATATCGATACCGTGAGTTCATCATGGACAGTGCTGAAGTTCGGCCGCCGGCAACATTGTGGAGCACAGAAGATACAACTAGGACAGGCCACTTGCACGTCTTGTCTGCAGTGCGTGCGGGTTCAGGGGGCGGCTTGCAAACATATGACACACCAAGCATGCTTCATTGCCCGCGCCGCTCCCTTACGGGTCTGCCAGTGGTACTTCCTGTTGCGTTGATGACGCCGTTCCCGACTAAATAAGCCTCTTCTACTCAATTTGACAAATGTGCGCACCTTCCATGGAAGTAGGGTATTTCTTGGAGTAGCAGGTCAATACCACTCCATCGAACATGGATCATTTTGACTCCCATGGAAGACACTTCGCGAGCTTCCATGGAAGCTGTCGTGGAAGTCGATCCAACCAACTTCTACGGAAATCGCCGACGTTGAGGCAGCTTCCATGTAACTATGGAAGTATTCTGCCACAAATTCCATGGAATTATCCACCCCTACGTAGTCCAGCTTGAGGATAGTATTGGGAGACAAAAATTTAGGGATTAGGTGCTTGACGGATTCATGGAAGTCGCCAAGCTTCCATGGAACTTGCCTTCTAGCCTTGACACACGTTTCCGTGGAAGGTGGATTTGAAGCTGCCGTGTTTCCATGAAAACCCCTTACGATTTCTAGAAGGTGTTCAACAGGCTTCCACTGAAGTAAGTCATGACTCCCATGGGAGCCCTGCGCGCTTTATCGTGCAACTTTATAGTACGACTTCCACGGGAGCAACCACCGGCTGTTTCCACGGAAACTGCTGACCTTCCATAGAAGTTGCAGCACCTTCGACGGAAGCCGTGCGGAAGTTGGCGCCGAAATCCGACACTTGGCTCCACACGGCTTCCATGGAAGTCGAGGGGAAGTGGAAGCGTGTGAAGCTTTCATGGACCTCCATGGAAGTTGTGCCAATCTTCCGTGGAGGTCAATATCGACTTCCATGCAAGCTTGTACCGTATGTCAAAACCTTTAGGCTACCCTCGTTCGGTAGAACAAGGGTTTCGTCGCATAGTTTTTGAAGAAAGCAGGAGTTGGCGAATGGCTGGATCGGGATTTGGCTACATTTTTGACGATCGTTGCCTTGTACCTGGGACGATAGAGTACAGATACATGTCAGGACCTCCTCTGGGTTGTTAGTCACCAAACCGTAGACTTGAAATCTGTGTCAGAAACGCAACAAACGAGACAGTTGTAAACGGCTGATGTTTGGTGACGGTCCTCACACAAGGTGAAAATGCGGCACCGGCGTCGCCAAGCACAAGGCTGTGCACCAGAGGGGAGGTGTCAAGCCTGCGTCGCCCATGTCCTACGCCCGCTCTCCACGATAGCCCCGGCTCCACGTCCAGCTCCATCTTCCCCGCTGCTCATCTGCGCAGCCAAGAGTTTGTGTCGGAAGCGACGTTGCTAGTGCCGCGTTGCCTGCCGCTCCCGGCCTCTCTCGGGGAACAGGCCTCTGCAAAAGGCCGAACGCTCCACATCCCGGGGCTTGTGGTCCATATTGAAGAGCCAACGGCAACACTCGTCGTTGAGAAAGACACATCACCCGACAAGCGGCGACAATCAACATCAATTTCGCATCTCGACAGCTCGCTATGATGATTTCTCTGCCTCCGTGGCTGTCCCACTACTCTACTCCTGGCCTCACAAGGGTGAGCACAATGCGGCCACTATTCCTGATTAATGCACAATAATCGAGAATAGTGACCGCATTGTGCTCGCCCTTGTGTGGGTATCAGTGCAACAGCATGACACCGATGAGGGCACAGAAATTACGCTACCGGCAGTCGCGATACGCACATCTTAATCATCATCGCCGCCTTGTCGTGAGATGCATAGAAGTCGACCGCGAGTCTTGCCGTAGGTTCTTCAACGTCGACGACGAGTCTAGACCAGGGGTTCGTAGCGGTGGGCTGTCGACAGAGGCCCATTCCCGGAGTGATTCCACAAAAAACAAAATCGTTTCTCTAAGCTGTTCACCAAATGGTGCTTGTCCCCGCCGGCGTTTTCCTGCTGCTTGTCCGGCTGCACGTCATTCTTGTCATTTCTCCCACGTAAATTCTGCGATCGGCCTAACCTTCGTCTACCTTACAGTCCTGCAGCCCTCTATCTGAAGAGCCCCGGCTCATGACCATACCGAAGCCAAAATGTGCCAGAAAGACATTCTGATGGCCTGCGTCAACACTCAACCCCAACCCCTCCGCTCGTCGTTTGTGTTTTAAGTGATTGGCGGCGGCCGAACTCCAGGAAAGCCCACGACGAGCTCCTCGGCATCGGCAACTTCCCCGACACTGCTCATTCGCGCCTGTGTCCGCGATAGTGATGTCGCTGACGCCGCTTTGCTTCCTGCTCCCGGTATCATTCCGGGACTGATTCGTGGGGAGGCAATCAAGGCGGGCTTCAGCAACGTCTTTGTGATGGACAGAGGTGTTTCGGCTGCGCAGATGAGGACAGGGGAATATGGCGATACCAGGAGCTCGTCATGGGTCTTAGGAAAGTTCGGCCGCCGGCAACTAGATATAGTTAGGGTAGCGGCCACCCGCCTTGTCTGCAGTGAATGCTGCAACGGTTCAGGGGGCGCCTTCCAAGCATATGGCACACCAAGCGAGCTTCATTGCCCGCCCCGCTCCCCCGCGGGCATGATTGTGGTACTCCCAGGACCGGTGATGAAAATCTCGCCTCTTGGCAGAACAAGGGTTTCATCGCATTACACAGAGTTTTGTGTTTCTTGTGGCAGGACCGGGATGTGGCTAGTCTTGATCTTTTGGAAGAACGAAAGCACCTCACACACCTCCCCCCCCCCCCCCCCCCCCCCCCCCCCCCCCCCCCCCCCCCCCCCCCCCCCCCCCCCCCCCCCCCCCCCCCCCCCC